GGTAAGTTGTCACATCCAAAGCAGCAGGACAAGAGTTCAAATTCCACTGGTGATGAAATTTGAATTTACAAAATGCATTTGGAAGACTGTATCTTATTTGGATTAGCATCTGTAATGGGTCACACTAGTACTGTTATACTGGAAGGTAGTAAAAATACTGTGTAATATATGAGTTGCATGACAGTAAAGCTGCTGGGTAAAACCAGTAGATCAGAATATAGAAGCCTGCTTGGCAAGACCCAAACAGAGAAGCAGCACTGATCTTTGATGGTATTACCTAATAATTTAAAAAGGGAGAACCAAATGGCAAGAAAAGGGTAAACTAAACAGGACTAAAGTATTTGGCAAGGCACTCTACTATTCAGACTACTAGATGAGTAACTGAAGAAAAAGAACCCAATTGTAGATATCAGGAGCAGGTCACAGCTCTTCCAAACTATCTGAATTAGAAGTTTGGAGAATTAGAAGTAGAGTTTAGTTTAGAAAACTGGAAGTATGGGTTGCTAAGTATGTACCAGGATTTGAGCAAACTTTGCAAAAGCACAGAGTAGATAATGGTAGTGGCTTCGACTCACAAGTATTTGTTTTTAAACTCAGCGTAAGTTACCATAAACCTATATGATATATATGTGGGACATAAACTACTCTAGTAGGTTTAATAAAAGTCAAAGAACCTTCTTAATAGAAGTATATATCTGCTTTAAAGACTTAGCAGGCTTTAGCAGCAAGTAAAATGTCTGATGCTATGAAGTAGATCAAAGAGTTTAATTTAGTAATTCAAATAACTCCTATACAACTATTGAAAAAATATTACATATACATAAACTTTACCTATCCTTCAAAAAACAACTATGCACAAAAAACATTATATATCTTAAACAACTTACATTATATGATAACACATCACTACTTGACTAGTCGCATATCTTACCATGACTACAATACATCCCTACAGCTCACAAACCACTATGGTTTAAAACACTAGAAAACAAAATTATTACCAATCAACAAACCAGATTAATTAATACTCAACTAGACTTGTATATATGGCGGCTTCACCACCATATTCTAATAATATGCGCATTATTAATTAGTATAATATAATGTTTTACTTAATTATAATTATGAGATTTAAGTTTGCTTATTTTAAATGAAATAGAATTAGTACATGATCATGTGGCGGCTTCGCCGCCAACTAATAATTAGACATAACAGTATATGGTATTAACAGACACTGACAATTTGATAATACATAATTAATCGAAATCAAAAAAATATAAATTAAGGTGGTATTCTATTTGTTTTTTTTCATAGTTCTTGGCTTTGCTTGAGGTTACATTTTTTATGTCTTGGCCTCGCTTTGCTCGGCTAGGTTTTTAACTCTAAGATTCACAATAATGTAAAGTCAATTTAAACCTAGATACTAAAACTTATATATACGGGAGGCTTGGCCATTCAGTTTTAGCTAACTAATAATTGGAAGATCAAGTGAATCAGTAAAGCAATGTTTTATTTGATTAACATTTAACTTTATTAAAAATTCTCTCTCTAATGAAATAGAACACAAATACATAAAGCTAGTTTTGAAAATAACCAATGCAATAACTTTCGGCCTCAATTCAAGCTCAGTTTTACATTTATTATGTTTGCCTCGCTTCGCTCAGCAACGTTTTAAATTTTATTACTGTATCGCTATAACGAGTCAACTATTGATTATGCCGAAGTTTGTTTTAAACTTTACTATCTATTTACAGCTGTTTTCATTATTTTTGGGACAGCTGGTAAAAACTGACTGAATTATTGTTCGCTGACTCGATAAGTTATTGATTTCGGCATGATCTTATTATTTACAGCAAGATATAATAAGGACTATTACACAAAAACTCGTAAATATCAAGAGGACAAATTGAGCATGTGATTCGATAAAGTCATCTGATTTCGCAATAACTTCGTTGACAGGCTTTTCACGTTAATATACGTAGTACGTATAGGATTTATAGTCTCATGGATACGTAGTACGTATAGGATTTATAGTCTCATGGATAATAACTTATATATATAGAAACGATCATAGAGTTAGTCACGATTAGAGTTTAGAACCGGTGTTACTATCGTCATGTGAAAATTTTTCTGCGCCTTTGCCGTACATTGATCATCCGTTGTGAACCGCTAACCGTACTACTTGATTTTTCTTTTCCTTTTATTCTTATTTTAGTAATACTTTATTAGATTATCCATTTCCTATTCTGTACTCTATATACATATCCTATCTCTATTTCTATATTTGGCAACCCATACATAGCTATAGACATGAAGTCGTTTGTTATTAACAAGGTTGAATCGTTTTCTTGAAAAGAGTTCCATCATTCACTTATTGGTTTCCGTAAGCATTGCAATACTGTATGAATTGCCAAACTGGGAACGGAAAAATAGACACCCGATGTCCTCAATGATCTTTAATAATCAGAACGCGTTTACTTATTATCAGAATGCTGCATAATAAGTGGGAAAAACAACGTTATTATTACAAGAAATGTTAGATGGAAAAGTTTTATAGAAAGTATAAAGCAAACAACAGAGGGAAGGATAACCCGACAATAGATTAGTGTAATAATTTATATGTAACGAATTTGTATTTAATAACTCGATTTTCGACTGTTAATAAAGTTTTTTTCAGACTTCGATCTCTTATATACTTAACCTGTTGTAATTAACTTTATCGAATTCTCACCCTTGTACTCTGATTAAATCATCGTGAATACATCTTCACGACATTATCTATAATCGTTTATCATGAATTTACCTTCACGATCTTATTAATTTACTTGTTTTATTATTATTTTTGCGGCCCGTGTTTGGCCTCATTGTTAAAACTTACTTAATTAGTACCTGCATTATTATTAACACTGTTATATTTAAAGATACTACGTTGCTTACTATATTTAACTTTATTAAACTATCCCTCAATTATTACGACGTACATCCGTCGTGTATACATCAATTGGTCTATATCCGTCTTATCCCTATATAAAGAAACCTTATTTCCTCATTAATAACTTCCTGTTCACCTATCATTGTACCTGTCTTACATAATCTTGATCATCGTTCACTATCGCTGATCTAACCTCGGCTCTAATTACTGACGCTCTTCCGAACTTCTGATAGTAACATTTGGTGCTGATTGTGTGGAATCCCCGCCTGTCAGTTTTCAGGATCGTATAAACAATTTCGAACAACATATTAGGAATATAACAGAATACGACCGTCATCACTATCTATTCGGAAAGACTCCTCAAGCTGTTAATTACTTAACTCAATATTACTGCGACGATTCTTGTTCCGTTTGTTACCCACCTCAGCTTCTTTCCCCACAATTTCAAAGGTTTTGGCTTTGGTTTAACGAATTTCAACTGGCTACGTCTTTCTCTCAACACGCTATTCATTGATTCAAAAAGTTTTTCAACTTTGCTTTTGACCAATTATCTGATTGATTGTTACAAGCCTTCGTCTTTAGTTTTCGATACGAAGGACAACTAGACAATTACCCCACCCTTCTCAACGAATTCCTTACTGCTTATCAAGAAACAGACCGTTTTAACTTAGACCCTTACGACAAAACCTATGGAAATAGTGATACTTTTGCAGACGAAGCCATGAATCAGGATAATAACCATCCCCAAGCTCCTCTCCTCGTTGAACCTGACGATAACGATCAACAACCTCCCGTCGTTCAAAATAACCAGCAAAATGATCTCATGACATTCTTGGCCCATCAAATCGGCAACCTCGTCCTCCAGATGCAGAATAACCCTGCTTCGCAAATCAACATACCCGCTATTAATCTCCTCGCTCAAAATCGTGAACTTAACCTGGTCTCTTACCCTGACTTTTCTGGTGGAGAACAAGACCCTATTACATGGCTAGAAGATGTTGAAAAGGCGTTCGAAGCCAACCAAGTTCAAGATAATCGCAAGATTCCCATTATCATTCCCCATCTAAAAGGAACTGCCGCCACCTGGTGGGTTGCTGCCAAGACTATTCAACCCACCATCGACCGTTGGAACGATCATCATCATCAAGGCCAAAGTTTTCGCCCACATTTTGTAGCTCAATTTAGGACTCCCGCCCTTGAGAGCAAATGGTTTGCTCAATTAATCCAACGTAAACAAGGTCCCGCTGAGGAAGTTAATTCTTATCATATGTCCATTGAGGAGCTTCTTCGGCGTGTCGAATCGGGAGGACATCATTACCCCGGAACTGCAAAGGCCCAAATGTTCATCAATGGTCTTCGTCTTGAACTCTCTACTGCGGTCTCCCCCTTTATGCCTAATTCTCTAAACGCTGCGTATGAACGTGCTAAAGCATTTGAGAATTTGTTTAAACAAAATCCCCTCTATCATAACCTCTATTTAATGGCAATTCCCCACATTTCCCCTTATGCCGTCCCCAATTCGTTGACTCCCAACCCTCTTTCTAACAATCCTCCTACCGTCGGTTCCCCTGTGGTTGACCCTTCCAAGACAGAGGAAGTTCTTGTCAAATTAACCGAAGCCATTACCACAATGATGGCGAAGCTACAAGAGCCCAAGGAAACCCCCCGTAGGAATTCCGGTAATTGGAATAATAACCCTCGATATCTCTGTAATCGATGTGGGCAAATGGGTCATTATGCTTGGACTTGTCCCAATCCTTTACCTCAAGCTGCAGGAAACAATGTAGCTACGGGAAGTAATGCCATCCCTCTTGGTCAAAATAATGTCACCTGGAATAACCCTCAAGTGAACAATAACAATGATCCTCCTGTTTGGACTGAAGGGAACGAAGCTCAGACTTTTTTGAACCTTCATATAGACGATACCGATTCCTTATTTCTTCCTGCGGAGGATGTTGAAAAGACAGCCTCTAATAAAAGGCGTCGTACTGATGAGCCCGTTCTGGAGGAACGTACTGAGGAGTTGAAAGCCTCTGGCAACATAGAGGAAGGACCTAGGAAGTCTACGATGGGAGCAAAGACAAATAAAGGAGATGTTAAGACGATTGTAAGCCGAAAGAAAAAGACCGAAGATAATCCACCACAAATTTCTGCCCTAATTCTCCATTACTCCATCATATCGGACATTCGTGATAAGCCTGCTAATATCACATTGGGTCAATTGTTGCAAGTGGTTCCCTCTTTCTGTACCGACCTGGTCAAGAGTCTTAGAAGGACAAAAGCTTCAAAAAAAAGGGCTCGGGCATTCGTTAATATTTAGCCCACTCCTAAGTCTACGGCGTTATACTGTGATGCGACAGTACATGATAAAATTATTCCCCTCATCATCGATAGTGGTTCTTCCGGGAGTGTTGTATCGTCACACTTGCTTGGTGAACTAAACATTAAAGTTGAAAGACCCTCTACCATGAACATGGTTAATATCTATGGTCAGAGCAAAAGGGCCATTGGTGAAATTTCGGACTTCCCTTTTTCTGTCAGAGGCATCATGGTCCCTGTTGACATAGTAGTCACGGACGCTTCATCATACCAGGCCATTGTAAGAAACGATTTGCTTTCAAAAGTCAATGCTAATATTGACTATAACATCTCGGAGATGACGTTTCAATGGGATGATAAGGAGATCGTCATTCCAGTTGAATTTAGGAAACTCCAGCATACCCCCATCCAAGATAATCGCCCTCCTAAAATTACCAAAGTCAAACAAGTTGAACACGACGATTCCGAAGAGTCTAAGTCTGAGGAAGAAACTGAGAGTGAATTTGAAGAGGAAGAACTTGAAAACCGCTTTTTTGGGTTCTCTGAGGATGAAGGAGTTATTTTCCACTATTCTTGTGATGAGGATGAAGAGTCATATGATACGTGGTGAAAGTTAGAAAGTGACGATGATTATGAGATAGGAAGTGATGAAAAAGTCTTTAATTTTGACAACGACGTACCCGAACTTGGTCATGACTTCTTCTTTGATCAAGTAGAGGAGTCGTCCCAAGAGCTTGACATAGGAGAGTTATGGGAAGACGATCGTGAAAAGTTAAACGACTTACTCATGGGTTATGATGACCTTTTTGCATGGACTTCTCAAGACTTAGGTCGTACCAGCTTCGTCACTCATCCTATTTTTACTGACAACGCTCCTCCTATCAAACAACGTTATTATCGTACATCTCCTAAAGAACGGGAATTTCTGGAAAAAGAGATCAATCGGATGCTTCGAGAAGGCCTTATCCAACCTTCTTATGGCCCCTGGGCTTCCTCCGTTATGCTTGTCAAACAACATGACAAGATCCGTTTTTGTATTGATTATCACCGTCTCAATGCTGTCACAAAAAAAGACAGTTATCCCCTACCCAGAATCGATGATCTTTTAGACACTCTCCGGCATTCTTCTTGGTATACATCTCTCGATCTTGCTAGTGGTTACTGGCAGATCGAGATGAATCTTCTGACAAAGAAAAAACCGCTTTTACGTCTCAGTTTGGTACCTTCGAGTTCAATGTGATGCCTTTTGGTCTTACCAATGCCCCGCAACGTTCTAAAAACTGATAGACAAGACTTTTTGAGAGATTATTAAAGACTTTGTGGTCGTTTATCTGGACGACATCAATGTGTTCTCCTCCTCCTTTGATGAGCATATCCAACACTTAGCTGAAGTATTTGACCGTCTCCAAAATGCGGGACTTAAATTGAACTCAAAGAAATGTCACTTCACTAAGGACAAATTGAAGTTTCTTGGGTATATTGTTAACAAGAGTGGTATATCGACTGACCCGAAGAAAGTGGAGATCGTAAAGAGTTTTTCCACTTCAACTAACCTTCGACAGCTGCGTGGGTTCCTAGGACTCGCTTCTTATTATCGCCGTTTCATCTGTGACTTCTCGAAGGTTGCTTCTCTGCTTAACCGATTGTTAAAGAAGGACGTTAAATACTTATGGACGGAGGATCAAGAGAATGCTTTCAAAATCCTTAAAGAAAAACTTGTCATGGCACCTGTCTTGGCTTATCCCGACTTCTCACAAGAATTTCTCCTCTTCACGGATGCGTCAGGTGTTGCACTAGGAGCCATTCTTTCTCAAAAAGACCCACAAAGGAAAGAGCGAGTTATTCATTACGCAAGCAGAACTATGACCCTGGTGGAAAAGAACTATTTGGTAACTGAACAAGAGTGCTTAGCCGTTGTTTGGTCCATTTCTTATTTTGTCAGTACCTTCATGGGTCACGATTTATCATCATTACGGATCATTCGGCCCTCAAGTCTTTATTACACCATCAACTACCTAGGGGACGTCTTGCACGTTGGATACTGGCTCTACAAGAATATGAATTTTCAGTTCAACATCGTCCACGGCGCTATCATTCGAATGCCGATAGTCTTTCTCAACTTACCGACTCGTTGGTTTCGAAATCCCGATCTTCTCATCGTATCACATGCTGTCATTGTCAACAGCTCGATCACTACATTCATCAATGTTGTTTCGCATACTCGCCCGAGTTTAATAAAAATTTTTATGCCGATTTTACTCAAACCTCTCAATTTTGACTACCCGTACCCCTTTCCCACACTATTAAATACCTATCTTTCGCACTTTCTATTCTTGCAATTTATTTTTTTCAATTATTCTCCCTAATGGATTCCAACCAATATAGAACTTATTTGGATTACCTTAGTAGACCTAACTCCCAAAGCAATCTACAACCTCAACAACAAAAATCTTTACAACATAAAACCCGTTATTTCGTGGTCGTCAACAAAACACTTTACAAAAAACATCGCCAATCGCCCCATCGACTCTTGAGAGTCTTATTACCCTACGAAATCACTGCTGTTCTCTTGAGCATGCATTCTGATCCCCTGTCAGGACATTTTAATACCTTATCGACCCTTCAACGAATCTCGGTTCGGTATTTTTGGCCACAAATGGGCGAAGATGTTAAATGATATGTCTAGTCGTGTGATGCTTGCCAATGTAGGGGAAGACCCCAAACTCGAGAGCCGTTGTATCCTATCAAAATCAGTCAACCTTTTGACAGAATCGGAATCGATCTTGTAGGTTCTCTACCTCTTACTATAAAAGGAAATCATTATATTGCTGTTGCTACGGAATATTTCACCAAATGGCCTGAGGCTCATGCTATACCAGATGTGTCTGCATCGTCGGTGGCTTCATTTCTTATAGAAGACATCATTTGCCGACATGGAAGTCCTCGTGAGCTCTTATCCGAGCAAGAGAAACATTTCGTCAACAAGCTCATCAAAGCTATCTGCGCCCAATTTCAAGTCGACCACAAGTTTTCTTCTCACTATTATCTACAAACGAACGGCTTGGTCGAACGTTTTAATCGAACTCTGTGTGAAGTTTTGGCTAAGTGCTCCATTCAGTTCTCAGGAGAGTGGAACCAGTATATTCCTCCTGCTCTATTTGCTTATCGTACCACCAAGCATTCCACCACCCGATATGAACCTTTCTTTCTCCTGTATGGTCAGGAAGCCCTCTTACCCATCGAAGTAAACTGTTTTGATCCGGAATTGCTTCTACCAGACGAACGAGCCTTGCAAACTGATATCCTCCAGCGAATTGAAGTCTTATTTGGAGATCTACCCCAGGCCCGTATGAAGGCTCAAGAGAAGACAATCAAAGCCCAGAAGCGCCAAAAGAAACAACATGATCGACTTCATGCTATTGAGAGTTATCATATCGGAGATAAGGTTCTTTATTACCGATCCTCCTTAGAAGGTACCCATAAAGAAAAATTAGAACAAAAATAGAAGGGACCTTTTTACATCCATGACGCCCTTGGAAGCGGTAGTTATAAACTTTGAACTTTGGACGACCAAGTCCTAAAGCAGAAAATCCATAGAAATCGTTTAAAACGTTATTCGACCTTTGATAAGGATAATGACCGAATGGTGTCCTATCGTTAATCTCGCGGGAGCTCAATGATCAAGGAGAGGATTGTTACTATCGTCATGTAAAAATTTTTCTGTGTCTTTGCCATACATTAATCGTCCGTTGTAAACCGCTAACCGTACTACTTGATTTTTCTTTTCCTTTTATTTTTATTTTAGTAATACTTTATTAGATTATCCATTTCCTATTCTGTACTTTATATATATATCCTATCTCTATTTCTATATTTGGCAACCTATACATAGCTATAGACACGAAGTCGTTTGTTATTAACAAGGTTGAATCGTTTTCTTAAAAAGAGTTCCATCATTCACTTATTAGTTTCCGTAAACATTGCAGTACTGTATGAATCGCCAAACTGAGAATGGGAAAATAGACACCTGATATCCTCAATGATCTTTAATAATCAAAACGCATTTACTTATTATTAGAATGCTGCATAATAAGTGAGGAAAACAATGTTATTATTACAAGAAATGTTAGATGGAAGGATTTTATGGAAAGTGTAAGGCAAACAATAGAGGGAAGGATAACCCGACAATAGATTAGTGTAATAATTTATATGTAATGAATTTGTATTTAATAACTTGATTTTTGACCGTTAATAAAGTTTTTTTCAGACTTCGATCTCTTATATACTTAACCTGTTGTTATTAACTTTATCAAATTCTCATCCTTATACCCTGATTAAATCATCGTGAATATATCTTCACGACATTATCTATAATCGTTTATCGTGAATTTACCTTCATGATCTTATTAATTTACTTGTTTTATTATTATTTTTGAGGCCCGTGCTTAGCCTCATTGTTAAAACTTACTTAATTAGACCCCGCATTATTATTAACACCATTATATTTAAAGATACTATGTTGCTTACTATATTTAACTTTATTAAACTATCCCTCGATTGTTACGACGTACATCCATCATGCATACATCAATTGGTCTATATCCGTCTTATCCTTATATAAAGAAACCTTATTTCCTTATTAATAACTCCCTGTTCACCTATCGTTATACCTGTCTTACATAATCTTGATTATCGGTCACTATCGCTAATCTAACCTCGGCCCCAATTACTGACGCTCTCCCGAACTTTCGATAGTAACACTGGCTTAAATCACTACTAAAGACTATAATACTTTGTGTAACTATCAATTTGCAGATCTCTATGTTCGTGCCTTTAACTCCAAATATCTTGGGATCCATCAGGCCGATTTTGATGATCTAACTACCATTAGAACCAGAAAAGTCTCCTCTACAACTTTACTTAGAAGCCCAACAAACCCTAACTTAATAAAATTTTCTTTAATTTTTAAAAAAAATAATTTTCTTTATATTTGCATCTTTAACTCTAATTATCTTGGGATCTACCAAGCCAATTTTGATGATCTAATTACCATCAGAACCAGAAAAGTCTCCTCTACAACTTTATTTAGAAGCCCAACAAACCCTAACTTAATAAAAATATCTTTAATTTTAAAAAATTGATTTCTTTAAATTTAATTGGTCGTTAAAAATAGAATTTTTTATATCTTTTTGTGTAACCCATGGTGAAAATAACAATTCCCTAAATTTTATTTATAATTTTCTTTATTACAATATAATATTATTCTGACTTGTCTCAAAACTATTTGAATCTTGATTATTAGATTTATTATCAGAAATAAATAAACATTTTACCTCTTGCAATATACTTTATAATTTGCTTTTTGTTTTTGATCTTAATGCAGAATATTTTTTTTGAGCATTTCTTTAAGCTGTTCTAGAAGAGTTTCTATTTTAAGTAAAATTTTGGTCTTTATTATATTGTTTTTATTTATTTAGGCTTCTGCTTTATATTTTATAACTAGAATTAACCTAAAAAAGGTAGTTAATATTGTTAATAAATACTTTAGTAATAAAATTTTGTTAGGCTAATTTTGTTAAAAAAATGAAATTTTTTAAATTTTCATTTTAATTTATATTTTTCTAAATTCTGATTTATAAATTAATTTTTTGCAAATAAGTCTGAAACCTTTAGCATTTTATTATAAATTCTGTTTGAGTTCTTGATCTTGAGTGTTGATTATCATTATATCTGATTACTTTAAATAAGTTATTTTTAATAGGCAATCTGTGAGATATCTGGACAAAAATTTTTTTTTATATATAAATTTTACTATAAGTATGAATATATAGCACTCTATCTAAACCTTTTTTTTATTAAGTAAATCACTCTTGGATTTGTAACAAAAGTTGTAGAGCTCATCAAAATGTATTTAATAGTGAAAGGATATTAAATATATTTTGATGAGCTTTACAACTTTTGTTACAAATCCAAAAGTGATTTACTTAATAAATAAAAAGTTTAAATAGAGACACTGCACATTCGCACTTATAGTAAAATTTATATATATAAAAAAATTTTTGTTCAGGAATTTTACAGATTGCCTATTAAACTAAAAATTTATTAAAATAAAGATTTAAATTAAAGTATATAATATAGTAGCCTTTTATATTATTGTAAATATTTTTTAGATTTTTAT